ATATATATACATACACATAATTTATATATAATATGGAGCTCCTTAACGACTGACGGAGGCAATTTGCTCAGTACCTAGTTTGGTTGCTCAATGCCTTGCATGCTGAGATGCTAACTCGACATCACCATTATGTATATAATGAGACGTCTTGTGCACCTGAGCATCACAGCATGTGTGCAGCTGCGCTGAGAGCAGCATACAGTGTACCTATGCTGACCCCCCTGGCATAGACACTTGTGCTGACAAGAACTTCTATAGGGCACCTGTTCTCAAGTCTGAGGGACACCCACAAGGTTTTAAAACTAATGTCCTGTGTCTACACCCCTATAGCCCCCCCCCTCTCTCTTGTCTACACCTCACTCCCCCCCCCCTCTCTTGTCTACACCTCACTCCCCCCCCCTCTTGTCTACACCTCACTCCCCCCCCTCTCTTGTCTACACCTCACTCCCCCCCCCCCTCTCTTGTCTACACCTCACTCCCCCCCGCTTGTCTACACCTACCACAGTGGGTAGACATGATCCTACCTGAATGAGCGAGTTGCCTTCTACTCATAATCAGAATAATTATAATTATTATTTATTATTATTATTTATTATTATTATTATTATTATTATTTTCCTTTATTAAGAAATGTAACATAGTGACAGGTGTCAAAGGTTAGCATAGCGTCTCTACAGTAACATAAATCCCCCTGTGTGTAGAGATGGGAGATATGGGGGTGTAGGTGGGTGTTACAGTGGTGGTGGAGAGTGTAGGTGGGTGTTGTAGGGGTGGTGGAGAGTGTAGGTGGGTGTTACAGGGGGGGTGGAGAGTGTAGGTGGGTGTTGTAGTAGGTGGTGGAGAGTGTAGGTGGGTGTTACAGGGGGGGTGGAGAGTGTAGGTGGGTGTTGTAGGGGTGGTGGAGAGTGTAGGTGGGTGTTACAGGGGTGGTGGAGAGTGTAGGTGGGTGTTGTAGAGGTGGTGGAGAGTGTAGGTGGGTGTTACAGAGTGTAGGTGGGTGTTACAGGGGGTGGTGGAGAGTGTAGGTGGGTGTTACAGGGGTGGTGGAGAGTGTGGTGGAGAGGTGGGTGTTACAGGGGTGGTGAGAGTAGGTGGGTGTTAGGGGTGGTGGAGGTGTAGGTGGGTGTTACAGGGGTGGTGGAGAGTGTAGGTGGGTGTTACAGGGGTGGTGGAGAGTGTAGGTGGGTGTTACAGGGGTGGTGGAGAGTGTAGGTGGGTGTTACAGGGGTGGTGGAGAGTGTAGGTGGGTGTTACAGGGGTGGTGGAGAGTGTAGGTGGGTGTTACAGGGGTGGTGGAGAGTGTAGGTGGGTGTTACAGGGGTGGTGGAGAGTGTAGGTGGGTGTTACAGGGGTGGTGGAGAGTGTAGGTGGGTGTTACAGGGGTGGTGGAGAGTGTAGGTGGGTGTTACAGGGGTGGTGGAGAGTGTAGGTGGGTGTTACAGGGGTGGTGGAGAGTGTAGGTGGGTGTTACAGGGGTGGTGGAGAGTGTAGGTGGGTGTTACAGGGGTGGTGGAGAGTGTAGGTGGGTGTTACAGGGGTGGTGGAGAGTGTAGGTGGGTTGTGTACAGTGGTGGTGGAGTGTAGGTGGGTGTAGGGTGGGTGGTGGAGAGTGTAGGTGGGTGTTACAGGGGTGGTGGAGAGTGTAGGTGGGTGTTACAGGGGTGGTGGAGAGTGTAGGTGGGTGTTACAGGGGTGGTGGAGAGTGTAGGTGGGTGTTACAGGGGTGGTGGAGAGTGTAGGTGGGTGTTACAGTGGTGGTGGAGAGTGTAGGTGGGTGTTACAGGGGTGGTGGAGAGTGTAGGTGGGTGTTACAGGGGTGGTGGAGAGTGTAGGTGGGTGTTACAGGGGTGGTGGAGAGTGTAGGTGGGTGTTACAGGGGTGGTGGAGAGTGTAGGTAGGTGGGTGTTACAGGGGTGGTGGAGAGTGTAGGTGGGTGTTACAGGGGTGGTGGAGAGTGTAGGTGGGTGTTACAGGGGTGGTGGAGAGTGTAGGTGGTGTTACAGGGGTGGTGTGTAGGTGGTGTTGTACAGGGGTGGTGGAGAGTGTAGGTGGGTGTTACAGGTGGGGTGGAGAGTGTAGGTGGGTGTTACAGGGGTGGTGGAGAGTGTAGGTGGGTGTTACAGGGGTGGTGGAGAGTGTAGGTGGGTGTTACAGGGGTGGTGGAGAGTGTAGGTAGGGGTGGTGTTACAGGGGTGGTGGAGAGTGTAGGTGGGTGTTACAGGGGTGGTGGTAGGTGTTGTAGGGGTGGTGGAGAGTGTATTTTTGGTGTTGGTGGTGGAGAGTGTAGGGTGGTAGGTGGTGGTAGTGGTGGTAGTAGTGGTGGTATTGGTGGTAGTGGTGGTGGTAGTGGTGGTGGTAGTGGTGGTGGTAGTGGTGGTAGTAGTGGTGGTAGTAGTGGTGGTAGTGGTGGTGGTGGTAGTGGTGGTGGTGGTGGTAGTGGTGGTGGTAGTGGTGGTGGTGGTAGTGATGGTGGTAGTGGTGGTGGTAGTGATGGAGGTAGTGGTGGTGGTGATGGTGGCAGTGGTGGTGGTGGTGATGGTGGTAGTGATGGTGAAAGTGGTGGTGGTAGTGGTGGTGGTACTGGTGGTGGTGGTGGTGGTGGTGATGGTGGCAGTGGTGGTGGCAGTGGTAGTGGTGGTGGTGGTGGTGGTGATGGTGGTAGTAGTGGTGATGGTGGCAGTGATGGTGGCAGTAATGGTGGTAGTGATGGTGGTAGTGATGGTGGTAGTGATGGTGGTAGTGGTGGTGGTAGTGATGGTAGCAGTAATGGTGGCAGTGATGGTGGCAGTGGTGGTGGCAGTGGTGGTGGCAGTGGTGGTGGCAGTGATGGTGGTAGTGATGGTGGCAGTGATGGTGGTAGTAGTGGTGATGGTGTTGATGGTGGCAGTGGTGGTGGTAGTGATGGTGGTAGTGATGGTGGTAGTGATGGTGGTAGTGATGGTGGCAGTGGTGGTGGCAGTGATGGTGGTAGTGATGGTGGTAGTGATGGTGGTAGTGGTGGTGGCAGTGATGGTGGTAGTGATGGTGGTAGAGGCAGTAAGAGAACCGGGCGGTCAGGGGAGACAGACAGCGTCAATATTACAAGTGGAGACGAGCACCATTCGCTAGAACACGGACGAACTCACAACACCCTCACCATCTTCACTCTCACAACTCTCACTCCACTCACAACCCTATCCCAGGACAGGAGAGGGAGGGAGGGAGGGGGTGTGTGAACCCCATCCGGACCCCCCAACCCCCCTCCGTCCTCACCTACAAGGGCCAGAATCCCATTCCAACTCGTTGGTAAACTAACCTTAGCAGGCATCACGGGGGAGCAACAGTATTGTGCAATGATAACTGCACCCTCTGCGATACAACGGGTGAGTAGATTTGCAATGCGTAATGCAACTTCGTGAATATGAGTCGGACCTGCTGACTTGGACACGGGCGTCAGCTCCGGGTCCTCACACACTCACACACACACGCACACACTCACGCACACACACAAATAAACACACACAGAAGAGTCTGCCTGGGTCCGTACAGTATGGGGCCGTCTGTGGCTGGGTACTCGAGTCTTTAAGAAAGTCTAGCAAGGCTACAAGAGACTAAAGTCTTAATTATACAATTATACATCAACTACTTTGTGAGTACAACATGAGCCCCCCCCTCACACTCTCCTCTACAGTAGCTGGAGGACAATATGAGTCCCCATACTCTGCTGTACAACAATGGTGAGGACAATATGAGTCCTCATACTCTACAGCAGCTGTGAGGCTAACATGAACCTCACACTCTACAAGTTCTACACACGCAGTCACAAAGTAACAAATAAGATTAACTGAAGTCCCGTGACTGGCCAGGGGTGGCCACCAACAGTCTCTGCTAGTTCTAGAATACTAGACAAACACACACGCACACTAGCACAGCCGCCTCCCCCTGCTAGTATACTAGACATCATGTTGATACTACCTCAAACAGCCACTATGGATACTTAAGACACACATACATACACACAAACTACTCTTAAGAGGGCTGTCAGACAGTGAGGGAGACCTGACAGCGCCTGGTGGAGCGGCTCCTGGCCGGGGCACAGTGATGTCACAGGAGAGAAGAAAAACATTAGTATACCACAAGGTTTACAAGTGTGTAAAATGATGTCACGTGGTGGTGGTGCTTTCTGAACCAGGAGTCATCAACACCAGGGCTAAACTGCTGGCTCCTTCAAATGTCTCGCTCTCTTTACTACTTAATGTTTTACTTAAGAACTAATTATGACACAAATCTTAATACTAAATCATTAAATTACCCAATACATTACATAGGTTTGTGTTAACTTGTCAACTGGTGATAGAGAACCAGTCGATTTGTTAAAACTTTGACAAACTTACTTGGAAAATATTTACTTGTCCCATCAAAAGATGGGAATATTTTACCACGACAATTTCTAGTAAATATATCACATTCAAAGCTTGGCTGAGATCTATGGGGGGAGAGAGAAAGGGGAGGAATGGTATGGGGGATAGGGGGAGGGCCTGGCGTCACGACCAGAGAAGCTGGCATGGGATAGAGGGAAGGAATGGGATAGGGGGGGCGGACACACACACCCCCTATCCACTGGCTAGACCAGCTCATGGCGTCTCAGGAAGAGGCCAGAGTATCTAGCCCACGTCTTCACATAATCACACACATCATTGATCCCTACAGGTCGACGTGTACACAGGGGTGGGGGTGAGCAGCCCCTGATGTGGGCGTGAGAGTGGGAGGCACGCCCACATGGCTGGCATCAACCGTGTGACCACCACGCCCACATGGGTTGTTCCACCCACGCCCATTATATGTAGACTTTAGTGTAACATTGTAGGGACGTTGTGGAAGCTTAGGATATATATATATATATATATATATTGTATTGGTGGGTGGGGGGGGGGGGTGGAAGAGGGGTAGATTGGGTGGGCGGCAAGATGTCACATTAGCAAAGTATGTTGATGTAACCATGGCAACACCACATGGCCACCATGGCAACACCACATGGCCACCATGGCAACACATGGCCACCATGGCAACACATGGCCACCATGGCCACCATGGCAACACCACATGGCCACCATGGCAACACCACATGGCCACCATGGCAACACCACATGGCCACCATGGCAACACCACATGGCCACCATGGCAACACCACATGGCAACACCACATGGCCACCATGGCAACACCACATGGCCACCATGGCAACACCGCATGGCCACCATGGCAACACCACATGGCCACCATGGCAACACCACACGACCACCATGGCAACACCACATGGCCACCATGGCAACACCACATGGCCACCATGGCAACAACATATGGCCACCAAGGCAACACCGCATGGCCACCATGGCAACACCGCATGGCCACCATGGCAACACCGCATGGCAACACCACATGGCAACACCACATGGCCACCATGGCAACACCACATGGCAACACCACATGGCCACCATGGCAACACCACATGGCCACCAAGGCAACACCGCATGGCCACCATGGCAACACCACATGGCCACCATGGCAACACCACATGGCCACCATGGCAACACCACACGACCACCATGGCAACACCACATGGCCACCATGGCAACACCACACGACCACCATGGCAACACCACATGGCCACCATGGCAACACCACATGGCCACCATGGCAACACCACATGGCCACCATGGCAAACACCACCATGGCCACCATGGCAACACCACATGGCCACCATGGCAAACACCACACGACCACCATGGCAACACCACATGGCCACCATGGCAACACCACACGACCACCATGGCAACACCACATGCCACCATGGCAACACCACATGGCCACCATGGCAACACCACATGGCCACCATGGCACACCACATGGCCACCATGGCACACACCACACGACCACCATGGCAACACCACACGACCACCATGGCAACACCACACGACCACCATGGCAACACCACATGACCACCATGGCAACACCACATGGCCACCATGGCAACACCACATGGCCACCATGGCAACACCACATGGCCACCATGGCAACACCACATGGCCACCATGGCAACACCACATGGCCACCATGGCAACACCACATGGCCACCATGGCAACACCACACGACCACCATGGCAACACCACACGACCACCATGGCAACAGACACCTGTGATCACCAAACAAATGGTCGCCATTATCCATGGTTTCTGAGACTGTTTTTAAACCTCCCCAAAAGACCACCAGAGACTTGGGCTGCAAGGGAATAGCGGTATGTCTTTTAACTGTCCAAAGTCGCCCGAGAAGGGTCCTTCCGGACGCTCGTCATAAGGGCGGCTTTGGCGGAACCACCACCTGGAGGGGGATAAGGCTAAACAGCCGTTCAGGGGGAACCACAGCGTTCAGACTGTTTATTGAAATAATTCACAGACAACGAGGGATTTACATTACACAAGTTAATCCAAAGGGAAGACTGACAACAACAACAACAACAAAAATCACTACATAAACGAAGGATTAGTCTTTTCCAAATGATAAGAAGGAGAGAGAGAAATAAATTACCCCTCCAGAGGTTGGTTACAATAGTGAGGAGGAGGAGGAGGAGGAGGAGGAGGAGGAGGAGGAGGAGGAGGAGGAGGAGGAGGAGAGGATGGAGGAGTGTACACACTATAGGGAAAAGTCGGGTTGTTTTCTGGGCTCTCCTGGGGGGGGGAGATGTGAGGGGGAGGTGTGAGGGGGAGGTGTGAGTGAGGGGAAGGAAGAACGTGGGAGGAAAGATGAGAAGAGAGGAGTAGAGAGGGGAGGAAGGAACGAAAGAAGGGACCATTTCTTATTACATTGTGATAACATCTTGATGTAGGCAGAAGCCTGCCAAGTGTGGGCGTGAGGTGTGGGTGTGAGGTGTGGGCGTGAGGTGTAGGCGTGAGGTGTGGGTATGAGGTGTGGCTGAGAATGTACCAGGAAATGAACCAATGCAGGTTAATGAGAGGAAATAAAAATAGAAAGAAGGATACCTACACAAGGCCATGATGTACCATCATCCATCATAAGGTCAAGATGTACCATCACAAGGTCAAGATGTACCATTATAAGGTCAAGATGTACCATCATAAGGTCAAGATGTACCATAGCAAGATCAATACGTGTTGTCACGCGGTCAAGACGTGTTGTGACGAGGGCAAGACGTGTCCCTCAAGAAAGCTCACAAGGTCAATGTGAAGTAAAGCGAAGATTCCTTGTGCCTTGTTGTTTTTTGTTAGTTGAGTACTATAGGGACCTGGCTGATGTCCCTGGCTACACCCGGCCAGTCTGGCCGCTGGGGATCAACTCCCCTGTGGGTACGTCTGGTGCCCAGCGTGGGTGATGAAAGAAACTCTGCGATCTGCCCTCAGATTACCTAATGCCATTGCCTACAGAATATCCGTTGAAAAACGGAGGACGGTAACTCTGGTATGCTACCGTCGGCGTCCTCGTCGACTCTAGTACGCTACCGTCGGCGTCCTCGTCGACTCTGGTATGCTACCGTCGGCGTCCTCGTCGACTCTGGTATGCTACCGTCGGCGTCCTCGTCGACTCATATAACTAAAATCTAATTCTAGCTAATATATAGAGCAGGCAGTCTCGGTACACAATGGCATATAAACAATTAACATTATATACTCTCTGGCATTAGCTAATCAGTGGGCAGAGCCCAGAGTTTTTGTTTTACCAGAGGTTGGCATCAGATGTGCCCCCATGGGGCAGCCAGGTAGGCTGTAGCTAATGACGAGGACTCATTGCAAATCTGTGTACGACCAACTACTTGTAGTGATTAACCTGTAAGTACAACAGTCAAAGAGTATTCCATCTGCTCATCCATCAATCAGAGCAACACATCAATAATACTGGTGGCAGCGGTGGGATGGAATACTCCTTAGTTGGTTGTTATTGTTATTGTTTGAGTGTTACAGGTAGCTGGTTGTATGCAGACTTGTACACTTGTATTGTATGAGGGTCAGTGCAACATTGTCCAGTCAACACTAGATAAGTGTAGTGTACAGAGTCATTTACCTTCAAAGGGCAATAAAATGGGCTCTTGGTGTGCAGTAAACTGATAGCACCAAGCCAGACTCTTAATACAGCAGTGTATACCTCAGCGATTGATTGCAGCATCATTGAAACTTCAGACATCTGGTGTGTCGCCAAGCGAGTGAATCAAGCAAATTGCAAAATATGTGATTATGTCAATATGAAGGTGACTGACAACAGGGCAACCTCTGACGAGCGGACCAAGCTGTAAACCTGGGGCCAGATTCACGAAAGCACTTACGCAAACACTTACGAACCTGTACATCTTTTCTCAATCTTTGGCGGCTTTGTTTACCATTATTAAACAGTTAATGAGCTCTGAAGCACCAGGAGGCTGTTTATAACAATAACAACAGTTGAATGGGAAGTTTTCATGCTTGTAAACTATTTAATGAATGTAACCAAAGCTCTCAAAGATTGAGGAAAAATGTACACATTCGTAAGTGTTTGCGCAAGTGCTTTCATGAATCTGGCCCCTGGCTTGGGGACTGAACCACCAAGGTTGTGCTCATAACCCTATATCCTGATCACACAAACGTGTGAGCACGTTTGTGAGAGACTGAGGTAAATGACCGACTACCGTAGTGTGAAGAATCACGGAAAGGGGAAATGGAACACGGCCCGGAAGAAGGGAGCATGATAAAGAGAGGTGATGCAAGGGCAACATGGCGAAGGACAGGAATTGTTCAGCAATGAGAGGAAAGAGTGTGAGAGATAGAGGATGGGATAGAGGATGGGAGAGGAAAAAAACAGGAAAGGAGGCAAAGGAAGACTATATATATATATATATATATATATATATATATATCTATATATATATATATATATATATATATATATATATATATATATATATATATAATATATATATATATAAGGAAGAGGTAACCAAAAAACCCACAGTTTTGCTGAAGAGAGGAAACATGTTATTAAGTTTAGTGACGGGAGATTGAGCAAGGCCTAGCATGAGTGTGTTTTGAGAGGGCCTGCACATGAGCCTGGCTGCCTCACACCTCACTCACATGCTTGGCTTAGCCTGAGGGTGTTAAGAGAAGCCTGCACTGGGCCTGGCTCCCTCACACCTCATTATACAGGACTTGGCCTGCACCTGGGTGGTGGGGGGACATATAGGGGAAAAACCTTGCGTCTCAGCTGCCTAAGTCATTCTCACATTACTCTTGCCTAGACCAACAGATATAGGAGTTGTAAATTAATCCCCCGACTCCCCCAGGAGAGCTGCAGGGAGGTCCTTGGTGGCGTCCGGGTGTGGTCCTGTGTGGCTCTCTTCATAACATGTCTCCAAAGCATTACACAAGCTGTACAAATCAGTACAAATCCTGAACAAATGTACAAATCCTGTACAAATCAGTTTTGTTTTTCTCTCAAATGCCATGAGGTGTTGACCGGGACGACACCAGTGACCCAGACTGAGCGCAGTATAGCACGCACGTACACGCACACACACACACACACACACGCACATAAACTACCGCAACAGATCGCTACAGAACAACACCAACAACAACAACAACAACATCAGCAACGGAGGGCAAGAGGGACTTCCACATTACCTTTCACTGTATTCGTCCTTCTGGGCGAAGCTCTGCACGCTGGAGTCCTCAATGATGAACTTGACGCGCTGATAGAAGGAGGCGGTGACGGCGGGCGGCTGCTTGCGGAGCAGGACCTCGACGGGGTCGCTGGACACCATGCACATGACGTGGTCCGTGCACGCCTCCGTCGAGCAGCACTCGGAGTCCGAGCAGTCCGTCAGTCCGTCTGTGGCAGGGGGGACAGATTGTCTACGGTCAAGCGCGCTGGTCACGGTGTTGTGTGTGTGTGTGTGTGTGTGTGGGTGTGTGTGTGTGTGTGTGGTGTGTGTGTTGTGTGTTGTGTGTGTGTGTGTGTTGTGTGTGTGTGTGTGTATGTGTGTGTATGTTGTGTGTGTGGGTGGTGTGTGTGTGTGTGTGTGTGGGTGTGGTGTGTGTGGGTGTGTGTGTAATTACTATTTGTGCCTGCAGAATCGTACAAAAAGTGGATTTATTTCGGTGGTCCATCAATACATATAGGCACTTTCGACCAAATAGTTACTGTACAAGTACATTCATTTCAGGAGGACGGGTTGGGTTGGTGAGGGGTGAGAGGAGGCCAGGAGCCCCGGGAGCCGCAGGAGCCGCAGACCTCCTGCGGGATCCTTCAGGAGCTGGAGGAATATATAGCCTACAGGCAGCGTAACGAAACCTCTTAGAACTGGACCTCACACCCATGGAGACCTGGAGATAGGCCACAACCCTACTACCTTACTACCCTACATCCTACCCTACAGCACAGGCTTGCCAGCCGGCCACAAGGAGACCCGGGAATCAGGGACCCGGCCGCAGGGCGCGTTGAGCCATTAAATCAACGCGAGGTAAGAGGGTTGCTCCCTTTGGTTCGCCCTCTTCCCCCTCCCCCTTTATCCCACCTCCCCCAACCCAACACTCCCCCATGAACCCTCCCCTCCCCCCATATAAACCAGGACACAGACCATTCACCCATGATGACCTGCTCTCAGCCAGACAACACCCGCCCTTACGTCCCCTCGACACAAGGCTGGGAACACAAACATCACCTCATCTCCTCCTCTCGCCTCCTATGCACACTTATACGTCATAA